AGTGCTTCTGCTGTCGGAATTTCTGCGCTGTTACAGCGAGTGCTGAGGACGTTTCGGGAGGAGCGTGTGTATGGTGAGTGTGTCCCCCTCCTCCCCACCCCTCCGAGAAGCATAACTGGCACTACCAGCTGCTTTTTCATTTGGCTTGAGATAAAAATACACTGAACAGAAGAACATCATCTCTTGACAGAAATACTTACAGAAGTCGTAATCTTTTGAAATACTCTGCTATCTCTTTCTCTGTTCAGCCTTTTCCAATGAATTTTTTTGACAGTCTTTACCTTCAGTTTGTAGCTTAACAGTATTGTGTTGTGGGTAAATGAGCTACTGAAAAAAAATTTAAACAAATTGATTCTTGGCTTGTTTGCTTCTCTTTTTTTTTTTCCTGTAAACTGGCTCCAAAGTTGTGTAGATACTTAAAACTAATACTTTTTATTGAAATTTGTCTTTATGAAAGCTCTTGAATATAAGAATAAGAAGATTGCTGTTGGTGTTTATATCTTAAAAAGGTATTTACACAGATTTTTTTTTTCCACTCTTTACTACCTAGTGCCTTGGATCTTTTATATAAAACTAATTTTCAAAGTTAGTGAAGAATCAGTGACTCAAACCATACAGAGAAGTTACTAGCTTCATGTTAATCCTGTCAGTTCCAAGTATGGCTGCAGGGATGTGGAAATTCTAATGGGAATGATTGCAATAGCTGGGGATGGAAGAGCTGAAGAGACTCATCTTGTGTACTGTGTGTTTGAGAAGAAAGACATGGTTGTGACATGATACTGTAAGGATTCACCACAGAGGTATCAATCCCAGATAAAAATACTGCAGCATTCAGTGGGTGACCTCACTGTTTTACACGGTACTGGAAGTTCCTTAACCTGGCCTGAGTTCCTTACCTCCAGGATTTGAAAATCCCATTGCAGATTACTGGTGGGACTGGTCATAAATCACACCCGTACGGTGGCCCCTGGGAACTGTACTTCATCTACCAGAACAGTGTTTTCTGACTGAAAGTAAATGCCTGTTGCCTGTAAACTAGTTATTCAGCTGTCTTTGCTTAAAAAAAGTATGACACGATTTAAGACTATTGCTGGAATTTCCTGGTTTGTTGATTTGTGTTGGGCATCGCAGACCATTATGGTTAGAGGATCTCAGTCTTAGTCCTACTTAGGATTTCAAGTCTGTTGCTCAAAAATAACTTTACAAGAGATCCTGCAACCAGGCAGCTGTGATTTGCTTGTGTAAAATGTGACTATTTGTGTACAGCAGGGTGACAACATTATACTGGTGTTTATATAACTTCAGCGGATAAACTTCCCACCTGGTGAAGTAGGTGTGTGTTACACTGTCCCAGTTTCAGATGTGGTTTGGAACACTTTTATTAATATTTGGAATACTGGCTTTTGGAGTGGAGATTGCTCCACTTTACGTAAGGTACTTCAGTGCATGATCGACTGATTGACGAGCTCATTAAACTGTGCAGGATTTATTGGCACAAGGTCACTTGAGCCATCTGGTTTAATTAATTTAGGGAGCTTAGGAAATTTTTAGTTACCTATGTATATACTTACTGGCAACTGAGCTTGTGTTACCAACCTTGCTTGTGTTCGATTGTAGTGTTTGTTCATGCCATCAGGCCAGTAGCATAAAGTTGAAATCCTCTTACCTACTGAACAGCTATATGGTGTTTTGCCCACTGTCTGCAAGGAAATTGTTGAACCTGACTTCCAGGAACATGGATGTTGCTTCATTTCACTGTGCTGTAGTTTTTCCTCTGGCAGTATCAGAATTGGTGAAGCCTGCTGTGGAGGTTTTTACTGCCGTGATGAAGACCTGGTCTAAGTATCATAGTATTACTAGAGGAAATGAAGAGGTTAATGCATGCTTTTCACTCAGGTGGGGAGTGAGGAATCAAAGGAAGGGGTTGAAAGGGTCTTCACAGGGTGAAAAAAGCAGAGACTAGTGTTCATGCTGCTTTAATTCTCAAAACAGGTTTTGCTTGCAGCTGGTTTGGGGGTGTGGTCATGCATCTCTTGTTAACAAGACTTTAAACAACTAATTCGTGTTGCTTAGGAAGCTGGTGAATCTGTTGCTTAACCATAGCTGAGACTGTGTCCTGAGGGAAGTTGAGGCACCTGTGTGAGCAAGCCCTTCGTGGTCTCCAGAGTAGAGGAATGGATTACTTGTAGTAAACTACCTCCCCGTATATAGTTCTGCGTACATCCAGGGTATCTCAGTATAACTGTAATTCAGTAAATTAAATATTGCAGCAGTTACTAGAAACAAAGCAGTCGTCTGCTGAAAATGAGTAAGAGAGTGGAAGGTTGACTCCTTGGGTTGCATGGATGAGTGGCTTTAAACTTTTTGAAAGGACAGTGTCACTCTTTGAACACTGCTGGCCTTATTAACAGCAAGCTCGTAGAGGAAGAAGTTGAGGCTGGGAAGTCTGCACACTGTAGAGTAAAAAAAAAAAAACCAAAACAAACCCAAACCCCCAGAGCCCTGAACCACCACAAATCCTGGCCCTAATCTTTTTGGAAAGCAGAAATCCATTCTGTTTTTGAGTAAAAAGCGACACCTTCCCCCCACACTAAGTCTCTATTTATTATCTTCGGTTGGGAGTCTTGCTCACACTCCCAGCCAGTTGTAAGTCTGCAGTTACTAAGGACTTGCCAGCATGGGACATGAAAGGAAATAGGTTTTAAATCTGAAACACTTCGATTAGCAGGCCCTGCTGCCTGCTTGCAGAGGAACTGGGTCTTTATTTGGACTGTTCAGCTACGCAGCTACGATGGTTGAAAACTAAGGGTGGGGGTTTTTGTGTTCCGGACTGTGATTACTGGAAGTGCCTGGTGTGTGTGGTGCCATGGTATCACCTGTGAATTTGCAGTCAGTGCCAGGTTAAGTAAGCTGATGTCTTGTGGCCCTAATAAAAGTGACCTTGGGCAGTTCTGCAACTGCAGGGAGATGTGTTGCCAGTGACAAAGTTTACTGGTAGACAGGTTAACTCCTGCTGTCCAGTAACGTTGTGAAACAAGGTTTCAGGAAAGTAATACCTGTGTAAGTAATGACAGAATTAACATTTCAGCTAGGGCACTGATACATGGTCCTTGGCTAATGTCTAATGACGTTTTGACCAGAACCTAAAGACTTAAACAATTACAGTAATTACTCTGTGTTCAGAAATTGGTAGGATAAGAGAAGACTTCTTTGTGCGTAAGTTTTTTAACTACGATAAATAAAACTCTTCAGCAGCTTTTGAAGGTTCACAGTACAAAATACGGTCTTGTGAAAGCCATGTAGTAGGAGGCAGTTGCACAGCTTAACCCTGTGGGCTGTTCTGGAAGGGACAAGTGCAACACCTTGGGTGTTGTTCGAACCAAGGGCTGACTTTCCTCACGCAGGAGGTACGCAGCGCTGCTGTGCTTAGTAAAGAACTTAATGCTGTTCTGAACATAGAAGGTTTGATAAGGAAGAGAGAAATGGTGGCTTTTGTTAACCTCTTCATGCTTTTTCTTTATCAGTGATCATGAGAGGTGTGTGGCTGAGAGCATTGCAGACAGAAGCTCAACTGGTCCAGAGAACAGGTGCTGTATACACTGTTGCACTAAAAAAATCTTCTGTGTAAACTTGGTAGGTGTCAGTTTTGTATCCCATGGAGGAAGTGAAAAATGTATCCTCGCTGGAAGTAAGAGGAAAGGAGAATCATAGAATCACAGTCTGGTTTGAGTGGGAAGGGACCTTAAAGCCCACCCAGTCCCACCCCCTGCCATGGGCAGGG